GCTGGCTGTTGTGTTAACGGACATATTCAATCTCTCCCTATCCCAGTCTGCTGTCCCCACTTGCTTCAAGATGGCCACCATTGTTCCTGTACCCAAGAAAGCAAAGGTAACTGAATTAAATGACTATCGCCCCATAGCACTCACCTCTGTCATCATGAAGTGCTTTGAGAGACTAGTCAAGGATCATATCACCTCTACCTTACCTGTCACCCTAGACCCACTTCAATTTGCTTACCGCCCCAATAGATCCACAGATCATGCAATCGCCATCACTCTGCACACTGCCCTATCCTATCTGGACAAGAGGAATACCTATGTAAGAATGCTGTTCATTGACTATAGCTCAGCATTCAACACCATAGTACCCTCCACTCCAAGCTCATCATTAAGCTCGAGGCCTTGGGTCTGAACCCTGCCCTGTGCAACTGGGTCCTGGACTTCCTGACGGGCCGCCCCCAGGTGGTGGAGGTAGGGTGCATGCTAAGCCCCCTCCTGTTCTCGCTGTTCACCCATGACTGCGTGGCCAAGCTCAATCATCAAGTTTGAAGACGACACAACAGTAGTAGGCTTGATTACCAACAATGACAAGACAGCCTACAGGGAGGAGGTGAGGGCTCTGGGAGTGTGGTGCCAGGAAAATAACCTCTCACTCAACGTCAACAAAACAAAGGAGATGATCGTGGACTTCAGGAAACAACAGAGGGTGCACCCCCCTATCCACATCGATGGGACCGCAGTGGAGAAGGTGGAAAGCTTCAAGTTCCATGGCGTACCCATCACTGACAAACTGAAATGGTCCACCCACACAGACAGTGTGGTGAAGAAGGCGCAACAGAGACACTTCAACCTCAGGAGGCTAAAGAAATTTGGCTTGGCACCTAAAACCCTCACAAACTTTTACAGAGAGCATCCTGTCGGGCTGTATCACCGCCTGGTATGGAAACTGCACCGCCTGCAACCACAGGGCTCTCCAGAGGGTGGTGCGGTATGCCGAACGCATTACCGGGGGCAAACTACCCACCCTCCAGGACACCTACAGCACCTGATGTCACAGGAAGGCCAAAAAGATCATCAAGGACATCAACCACCCGAGCCACTGCCTGTTCACCCCGCTATGATTCAGAAGGCGAGGTCAGTACAGGTGCATCAAAGCTGGGACCGAGAGACTGAAAAACAGTTTCTACCTCAAGGCCATCAGACTGTTAAATAGCCATCACTAGCACATTAGAGGCTGCTGCTGCCTATAGAAATCACTGGCCACTTTAAGAAATGGAACACTAGTCACTTTAATAATGTTTACATATCTTGCATTACTCATCTCATATGTATATACTGTATTCTATAATATTCTACTGTATCTTAGTACATGCTGCTCTGTCATTGCTCATCCATATATATATATATATATATATATATATATATATATATATTGTTAATTCCATTCCTTACATAGATTTGTGTGTATTGGGTATATGTTGTGAAATGGTTAGGTATTACTGTACTGTCGGAGCAACAATCACAAGGATTTCGCTACACCCGCAATAACATCTGCTAAACACGTGTATGTGACAAATAAAATGTGATTTGATTGAGATGGTTTGGGATGAGTTGGACCGCAGAGTGAAGGAAAAGCAGCCAAGTGCTCAGCATATGTGGGAACTCCTTCAAGACTGTTGGAAAAGCATTCCAGGTGAAGCTGGTTGAGAGTATGCCAATAGTGTGCAAAGCTGTCCTCAAGGCAAAGGGTGGCTACTTTGAAGAATCTAAAATATATTTTCATTTGTTTAACACTTTTTTGGTTACTACATGATTCCATATGTGTTATTTCATAGTTCTGACGTCTTCACTATTATTCTACAATGTAGAAAATAGTAAAAAATCAAGAAAATCAAGAAAAATCAAGAAAACCCTTGAATGAGTAGATGTGTCCAAACTTTTGACTGGTACTGTATATGCAGGCGAAGGTGTTTGAGTGTAATCATGTTGGCCATATTGGATTCAGAATAAAATATATTTACACTAACATTCTTTATAGTGTGTTGTACACACTTCTGAAAAAAATCCTAATTTACACAATTCATATTTATAGGTGATTTAACCTCCATCAAATGTTATTATGGCAGGCATTTTGGAATTTGGATGCCAGCAAACTTGACTTGGAAAGTCTATTGAACATTCCAAAAAATTCATAGTTGATATTTACACCTATTGTATCTGTTTACAGGTCTATATTTCCAAGATGCATGAAGATATCCTAATGCTGTCTGTGTATCTAGGGCTGACAACTGACTACTTGTATTCCAAATTCAGATCTTGCAATATTGGGTTGCATGTAGAATGACCACGTCGCGGATTGTGCGGGACATTCCCACATTTTGGCCCTTTGTGCCCGCAACCAAATAATCATGTCCCGCATTTTATCAACAAATTCAAACACCACCAATTTAGGAAGAAAAGGGCGATTTGTCCCTTGTTTCAGTCAGATATTCCAACCTGTCTCTTACAGTGACGTTGCACTTACAGTGCCTTGCAAAAGTATTCATCCCCCTTGGCGTTTTTCCTATTTTGTTGCATTACAACTTGTAATTTAAATTGATTTTATTTGGATTTCATGTAATGGACATACACAAAATAGTCCAAACATATGGAAGAAGGTACTCTGGTCAGATTAGACTAAAATTGAGCATTATGGCCATCAAGGAAAACTCTATGTCTGGCGCAAACCCAACACTTGAGTGGTTTAAGGGGAAACATCTAAATATCTTGGAATGGCCTAGTCAAAGCCCAGACCTCAATACAATTGAGAATCTGTGGTATGACTTAAAGATTGCTGTACACCAGCGGAACCCATCCAACTTGAAGGAGCTGGAGCAGTTTTGCCTTGAAGAATGGGCAAAAATCCCAGTGGCTAGATGTGCCAAGCTTATAGAGACATACCCCAGAGACTTGCAGCTGTAATTGCTGCAAAGGGGCTACAAGTATTGACTTGGGGGGGGGGGGGGGGGGGGGATGAATAGTTACAGTGGGGAAAAAAAGTATTTAGTCAGCCTCCAATTGTGCAAGTTCTCCCACTTAAAAAGATGAGAGAGGCCTGTAATTTTCATCATAGGTACACGTCAACTATGACAGACAAATTGGAGAAAAAAAATCCAGAAAATCACATTGTAGGATTTTTAATGAATTTATTTGCAAATAATGGTGGAAAATAAGTATCTGTTGCGCCTTCTTCACCCCACTGTCTGCGTGTGTGGACCATTTCAGTTTGTCGGTGATGTGTAAGCCAAGGAACTTGAAGCTTTCCACCTTCTCCTCTGCGGTCCCGTCGATGTGGATAGGGGGTGCACCCTCTGCTGTTTCCTGAAGTCCACGATCATCTCCTTTGTTTTAAATGTAACCAGTGCAACCATTGCAGAAATATTGCACAGAAAAAGTATTTTGTATACACAGCTTCCAAAATTGAGTATTACGTCAAGCATTTCATTAACTGCAAAACCACTCATGTCATCTATAGATTGGAATGTCCACAGTGCAAGGTGTTCTACATTGGACGGACAAAGAGACGCCTTCAAGACCGCTTAGCGGAACACAAGTACGTCATACAGGTAGGCAATGAAGACTACCCCATGGCAAGGCACTACAAGTCCTTACACCATAGTAACCCTGCCTCCCTACAAGCTATGGGTATTGATCATATTCCGGCCTCTATTAGAAAAGGGGACCGTCTTAAACAGTTCAACCAAAGGGAAAGTTTTTGTATTTACAAACTACAGGCCACTAAATACCCTGGTTTAAATGAAGATATGGATTTCTCACCCCTTCCTGTAGGGTTGTGATAGGTCCATTTGCTGTCATCTAGTGGACATTGTGCTCAATTGCCCTCAGCTATTTTTAGACCGTTGTTGTTTATGTTTTGCTGGTTTCTAGTGTACTATGGAATATATTGCTTTCTTATTTTTGACACTTTTCCCAGTCATATTTAAGGTTAGAACTACCTTTCTAAGTGTTCTGATACTTCTAACTTAGAGTTGTATTTGTATGATAACATAGTTACAGTATTTCACTTTTTAATATGTATAGTATTGCTTACTAGGTGTGTCCAATCAACTTTGTAACCACTCCCTCTTCAAATTAGGGCTAATTGGAAAAGCTGTTCAAAGGACATTGTATTATTTATTTGTACTCCCTGACGAAGGCCATGCAGCCGAAACGCGTCGGATTTAAAAAAAATACTTGTTTCTATTGAACATGCCATACTAATAAAGGCATTTTAATTAATTATATGAAGAGTGCCTTGGTCCTCCTTTCTTTTTGATCTCCTTTGTTTTGTTGATGTTGAGTGAGAGGTTATTTTCCTGGCACCACACTCCCAGAGCCCTCACCTCCTCCCTGTAGGCGGTCTCGTCATTGTTGGTAATCAAGCCTACTACTGTTGTTTCGTCTGCAAACTTGATGATTGAGTTGGAGGCGTGCTTGGCCACGCAGTCATGGGTGAACAGGGAGTACAGGAGGGGGCTGAGCACGCACCCTTGTGGGGCCCCAGTGTTGAGGATCAGTGAAGTGGAGATGTTGTTTCCTACCTTCACCACCTGGGGGTGGCCCGTCAGGAAGTCCAGGACCCAGTTGCACAGGGCGGGGTTCAGACCCAGGGCCTCGAGCTTAATGTTGAGCTTGGAGGGTACTATGGTGTTGAATGCTGAGCTATAGTCAATGAACAGCATTCTTACATAGGTATTCCTCTTGTCCAGATGGGATAGGGCAGTGTGCAGTGTGATGGCAATTGCAATATATCAATGAAGTATGAAGTAAAAAAGATTTTCCAGAAAGGAAAAAGCTAAAGAAATCGCTGACTAATTGTTGACAAAAATCTACTAATTGTGTTGATAAAATGTTGTTTTTCAATTTCTTTGAATCACAATATGCAATCAATTCAATTGACCCCAAAATACAAACTGCATTAAGTGCTTTGGGGTCAGTGGTCCACTCAGGTTACATTTGACATTCTGCAACAGCGCCAGTACAATGAGCTGGGGACAAACGTAGCTCTAAAATCATCTTGGTTATTTGTTCAATTTCTATTGCAAAAGACTCACTGCCACTTGTATCGAGGTAAGATATGTGTTTATCATATTGTGAAACCATAGGTGTGAAACGCAGTGAATGTAATATGTAGAAATGCTACATTCTCATCATCGTTACCACCCTGATCCTGGCGACAGATGTTTACGCCGGCAGCGCGAGCCACTCGCTTATGTCTGGGCATTGTGCACCTGCTTTTGGTACAGTGCACGCGACTAGATGACGTGTTTTTAATATTATACACTCACTTGGCGACTAAATTCTTCAAATTGTAACATTTTATATAAGCTTGCTAGAAAGCAAGTCTTTCAAAAAAATATAGATGCTTCGTTGTTGGTTCAATTGCCTTCATGGCTGAAGTGGCTAAACTAGCTAGCTGGCTAGAATAGCTAGCATAGCAGTGATAGCGTAGCCTGATAAAAAATATTATGGCGAATTTCGATTAATTGTTCAGCTACCTTCAAAGGTACACCTGCACTTGCATATCCAATGACTGCAATGAACCTATGCTAGTGTAGACTATTTTGAAACGTTATAAGCTTGAAAATGAATGACTGTCATGATATTATGTAATGACTACTGTATGTAATGATTTGGCATCAGGATGCTGTCTTTGCATTAATTGCCCTATAGATATCTATCTGTAAAAAACGTTTCAGTTGATATATGATGTATTCAATTGACATATTTTTTTCCCACAGATTTGAGTCAAATAAAATGTGCTCTTTCCAGTGAAATATATAATTTTGACTTCACCACCAATATGCTGGCCCGGAAAGGCCCACTACTACCAGATGGGTTCTTTCTGACCCGACTGGCAGAGAATGCCAACCAGCCCAACCTGTTCAAAACCAAGTCCCAACGGGCCAGGTTTATAACCAAGAATGGATCTTGTAATGTGGCCCACAAGAACATTCGCGAGCAGGTCAGGAACATTTAGAAAATGTCTACTTTTCTTGGCCAAAAATCAAGTGTCTCAGAGTAGGAATCCCTCATCTAGGATCAGCCCCCCCCGTCCATGTAATCTTATTCGTTGTGATCTAAAAGGCAAAACTGATCCTTAATGAGCACTCCTATTCTGAGATGCTTGATACATACGGCCCCCAGATCTCCATTCCACTACGATAGTAACCATCTCTAGAATGCAGGCGGAGGAAGCTGGCACTTGAGCATCATCTAACAAACCCTGTTTGATTTACATTTGATTTACAGTGGAGTTGTACCTGTAATATGGATCGTTATTTTCATCTCTTGGCGACCACAGGGCAGATTCCTTCAGGATGTCTTCACGACTATGGTGGACCTTAAATGGCATTACTCCCTCCTCATCTTCACCTCGGCCTTCCTCTGCTCATGGATGCTCTTTGCCATGATGTGGTGGCTCATGGCCTTTGCCCACGGTGACTTGGAACCCCGTGACCCAAACGGGGAGCCCGGGCCCGTGCCCTGTGTCACTGCCATTAACTCCTTCACCTCTGCCTTCCTCTTTTCCATCGAAGTGCAGGTAAGCGTCCACTTACCAAACGTTTTGACATTGGTTTAAAAAACATTTTTGCTGATAGTTTTGTACAAACATATCAAACTACACTTAATGGGACCATTAGAAAACGTTAGAAAAATAGGATAAATCCTTTTTGTGTCACATTAATGAAATTGTATTGGCTGCTGCACTGCACAATACAGTACAGTGTACACAGTATGTAGTCATTTATCTGATTTGACATATCCATCTGTCCTCCAGGTGACGATAGGTTTCGGGGGGCGAATGGTGACAGAGGAGTGTCCGCTGGCCATCATGGTGCTGATCGTCCAGAACATTCTCGGGCTGATTGTCAATGCTGTGATGCTTGGCTGTGTCTTCATGAAGACGGCTCAGGCCAACCGGCGAGCAGAGACCCTCATCTTCTCCCGGAACGCAGTGATCGCACCACGCCAAGGCCGGCCCACGTTTATGTTCCGCTTGGGTGACCTGCGAAAGAGCATGATCATCTCGGCCACTATTCAACTCCAGGTGATGCTCAGGGCCCAGTTTTTCTAAAGTTATCTATCTGGATTTCGCCAATCGGATAGGATTAAATGCATAGAAACAGAATGAATAGAACAGAAGTCCCCATTCACGTCAATGAGTCGTCCATTCTATTTAAATGCATTTAATCCTATCCGATAGCCAAAATCCAGATAGATAACTTTTGAAAAACTGGGCCCAGGATATACAATAATTGGTAGGGTTGGGAATTGCCAGGGACCTCACGATACGATATTATCACGATACTTAGGTACCGATACGATATGTATTGTGATTCTCACGATTGTGCCTTCAGAAAGTATTCACACACCTTGACTTTTTCCACATTTTGTTGTGTTACAGCCTGAATTCAAAATTGATTAAATTTAGATTTTGTGTCTCTGGCCTACGCACAATACCCCATAATGTCAAAGTGGAATGATCTTTTTAGACATTTTTACAAATTAATACAAAATTAAAAGCTGAAATGTCTTGAGTCAATAAGTATTCAACCCCTTTATTATGGCAAGCCTAAATAAGTAAAGGAGTAAAAATGTGCTTAACAAGTCACATAATAATTGCATGGACTCACTTTCGGTGTACAATAATAGTGTTTAACATGATTTCTGAATGACTACATACAGTGGGGGAAAAAAAGTATTTAGTCAGCCACCAATTGTGCAAGTTCTCCCACTTAAAAAGATGAGAGAGGCCTGTAATTTTCATCATAGGTACACGTCAACTATGACAGACAAATTGAGATTTTTTTTCTCCAGAAAATCATATTGTAGGATTTTTTATGAATTTATTTGCAAATTATGGTGGAAAATAAGTAATTGGTCACCTACAAACAAGCAAGATTTCTGGCTCTCACAGACCTGTAACTTCTTCTTTAAGAGGCTCCTCTGTCCTCCACTCGTTACCTGTATTAATGGCACCTGTTTGAACTTGTTATCAGTATAAAAGACACCTGTCCACAACCTCAAACAGTCACACTCCAAACTCCACTATGGCCAAGACCAAAGAGCTGTCAAAGGACACCAGAAACAAAATTGTAGACCTGCACCAGGCTGGGAAGACTGAATCTGCAATAGGTAAGCAGCTTGGTTTGAAGAAATCAACTGTGGGAGCAATTATTAGGAAATGGAAGACATACAAAACCACTGATAATCTCCCTTGATCTGGGGCTCCACGCAAGATCTCACCCCGTGGGGTCAAAATGATCACAAGAACGGTGAGCAAAAATCCCAGAACCACACGGGGGGACCTAGTGAATGACCTGCAGAGAGCTGGGACCAAAGTAACAAAGCCTACCATCAGTAACACACTACGCCGCCAGGGACTCAAATCCTGCAGTGCGAGACGTGTCCCCCTGCTTAAGCCAGTACATGTCCAGGCCCGTCTGAAGTTTGCTAGAGTGCATTTGGATGATCCAGAAGAGGATTGGGAGAATGTCATATGGTCAGATGAAACCAAAATAGAACTTTTAGGTAAAAACTCAACTCGTCGTGTTTGGAGGACAAAGAATGCTGAGTTGCATCCAAAGAACACCATACCTACTGTGAAGCATGGGGGTGGAAACGTCATGCTTTGGGGCTGTTTTTCTGCAAAGGGACCAGGACGACTGATCGGTGTAAAGGAAAGAATGAATGGGGCCATGTATCGTGAGATTTTGAGTGAAAACCTCCTTCCATCAGTAAGGGCATTGAAGATGAAACATGGCTGGGTCTTTCAGCATGACAATGATCCCAAACACACCGCCCGGGCAACGAAGGAGTGGCTTCGTAAGAAGCATTTAAGGTCTCCAGATCTCAACCCCATAGAAAATCTTTGGAGGGAGTTGAAAGTCTGTGTTGCCCAGCGACAGCCCCAAAACATCACTGCTCTAGAGGAGATCTGCATGGAGGAATGGGCCAAAATACCAGCAACAGTGTGTGAAAACCTTGTGAAGACTTACAGAAAACGTTTAACCTGTGTCATTGCCAACAAAGGGTATATAACAAAGTATTGAGAAACTTTTGTTATTGACCAAATACTTATTTTCCACCATAATTTGCAAATAAATCCATTAAAAATCCTACAATGTGATTTTCTGGAGGAAAAAAATCTAATTTTGTCTGTCATAGTTGACATGTACCTATGATGAAAATTACAGGCCTCTCTCATCTTTTTAAGTGGGAGAACTTGCACAATTGGTGGCTGACTAAATACTTTTTTTCCCCACTGTAATCTCTGTACCCCACACTTAATATTATCTGTATGGTCCCTCAGTTGAGCAGTGAATTTCAAACACAGATTCAACCACAAAGACCAGGGAGGTTTTCCAATGCCTCGCAAAGAAGGGCACCTATTGGTAGATGGGTAAACATTTAAAAAAGCAGACATTGAATATCCCTTTGAGCATGGTGAAGTTATTAATTACACTTTGGATGGTGTATCAATACACCCAGTCACTACAAAGATACAGATATCCTTCCAAACTCAGTTGCCGGAGAGAAAGGAAACCACTCAGGGATTTCACCATGAGGCCAATGGTGACTTTAAAACAGTTACAGAGTTTAATGGCTGTGATAGGAGAAAACTGAGGATGGATCAACAACATTCTATTTACTCCACAATACTAACCTAACTGACAGAGGTCTGAGGTCTTGGCTGATTTCATTTGATGTTCCCATGATGTCAAGCAAAGAGGCACTGAGTTTTAAGGTAGGCCTTGAAATACATCCACAGGTACACCTCCAATTGACTCAAATGATGTCAATTAGCCTATCAGAAGCTTCTAAAGCCATGACATCATTTTCTGGAATTTTTTAACAAGAAATTTGTGGAGTGGTTGAAAAAAAAACGAGTTTTAATGACTCCAACCTAAGTGTATGTTAACTTCCGACTTCAACTATATGTGTGCTGCAGAGGGACAAGAGAGCCATGAGAAAACTATTTAAAAAGAAGATGGAGAACAATCTTTGAAGGGAAAATACTGGTGTTTTGGTGCAGGTTCAGCCAACTAACGCAAAAATAATACTGCGATATTGTCAAACCGATACGATATATTGTCAAAAATAATATCCCGATATGGAACTATCATTTTTTCCCAGATCACTATTAATTGGGGCCTTCAGCGTAAATGTGAGGTGCTAGTTTTGGGTTCAAATGCAGTATGTTCATGTTCATGTTTACACTGTTATCACTGTGCAATAACCTCTTTCATCACAAAATGTACATTTATGGGTTATGTATGGTTATGAAAGTATGGTTTTAACAGATGACTGATGTCATGTGAAACCATTGAGGGGACTTGAGCTTCAGTGAGTGATGAGGAGCTCTCTAACATGTCCCCTCTTTCTCTCTCTCTGCCGGTGGCAGGTGATCCGCCGGACGGTCACCACTGAGGGTGAGGTGATCCCCGTCTGCCAGCTGGATATCCAGGTGGAGAATCCCCTTAGGAGCAACGGCATCTTCCTGGTGTCCCCTCTCATCATTAGCCACACCATAGAACGTGGCAGCCCACTCTATGAGGTCTCCGCCCAGTCCCTGGCCACAGAGGACATGGAGATCATCGTTATTCTTGAAGGTAGGATGGGAGGAGATTATGTGTAGTTCATAGGGATGTAACGATTCACCGATACGATTCACCGATACCGGTTCAAATGTTTAAGATCTAGTGCATAGGTCCCCAAACCGATTCAACTGCAGCATGAATTGTCAGAAAATCGATTCAAACGTTACGAACTGCTGTTTCACTAACTTTTATTACTCAGAAAATACCTCTAATCCTCTCCTTCAGTAGCCTATTTAACTAGTCAGATAACAACTGTGAACACATAGCGCAGCTGCTCGGGCCAACGAGAGCCTATCCCTGATCTAAAATGGGTATATCTGTGGTGCACCTTCAGCATTCAAATGCGTGTTAAATGGCTTTCGCAATGTCAAATCATAGGCTTTATTAGTTGGGTGACAACCAATGTAATTTGTTACCAAATGTGCTGTAGAAAATTGTGTTTTACCGGCAGAGTTGTGTAGACTGGAGTGGACACAACTCAAGTCTTGCTGATTGCACACCTTACTGCTGATTTGGGCTTTTCGATTGCCAGGTTCACCATAAGAAATAGTTTTGGTAGTTTTGCTTTAACACATTACACTCGTGGGAATTGGCCTACAGTGCATTCGGAAAGTATTCAGACCCCTTTCATTTTCCACATTTTGTTATGTTACAGCCTTATTCTAAAATGGATTAAATGAATTTTTTCCCTAATCAATCTACAAACAATACCCCATAATGACAAAGCGAAAACAGGTTTTTTAGAAATGTTTGCAAATGTATTACAAATAAAAACAGAAATACCTTACTTGCATAAGTATTCAGACCCTTTGCTATGAGACTTGAAATAGAGCTCAGGTGCATCCTGTTTTCATTGATCATCCTTGATGTTTCTACAACTTGATTGGAGTCCACCTGTGGTAAATACAATTGATTGGACATGATTTGGAAAGACACACACCTGTCTATATAAGGTCCCACAGTTGACAGCGCATGTCAGAGCAAAAACCAAGCCATGAGGTCGAAGGAATTGTCCGTAGAGCTCCGAGACAGGAATGTGTCGAGGCACAGATCTGGGGAAGGGTACCCAAAAACTGTCTGCAGCATTGAAGGTCCTCAAGAACACAGTGGACTTACATTATTCTTAAAAGGAAGATGTTTGGAACCACCAAGACTCTTCCTAGAGCTGGCCGCCCGGCCAAACTGAGCAATATGGGGAGAAGGGCCTTGGTCAGGGAGGTGACCAAGAACCCGATTGTCACTCTGACAGAGCTCCAAAGTTCCTCTGTGGAGATGGGAGAACCTTCCAGAAGGACAACAATCTCTGCAGCACTCCACCAATCAGGCCTTTATGGTAGAGTGGCCAGACGGAAGCCACTCCTCAGTAAAAGGCACATGACAGCCCACTTGGAGTTTGCCAAAAGGCACCTAAAGGACTCTCAGACCATGAGAAACAAGATTCTCTGGTCTGATGAAACCAAGATTGAACTTTTTGGCCTGAACGCCAAGCGTCATGTCTGGAGAAAACCAGGCACCACTCATCACCTGGCCAATACCATCCCTACGGTGAAGCATAGTGGTGGCAGCATCATGCTGTGGGGATGTTTTTCAGTGGCAGAGACTGGGAGACTAGTCAATAATCAAGGGAAAGATGAACGGCGCAAAGTACAGAGAGATCCTTGACGAAAACCTGCTCCAGAGTGCTCAGGACCTCAGACTGGGGCGAAGGTTCACCTTCCAACAGGACAATGACCCTAAGCACACAGCCACGACAACGCAGGAGTGGCTTTGGGGCAAGTCTCTGAATGTCCTTGAGTGGCCCAGCCAGAACCCGGACTTGAACCCTATCTAACATCTCCTTTAGAGACCTGAAAATAGCTGTGCAGCGACGCTCCCCATCCAACCTGACAGAGCTTGAGAGGATCTGCAGAGAATAATGGGAGAAACTCCCCAAATACAGGTGTGCCAAGCTTGTAGCATCATACCCAAGAACACTCGAGGCTGTAATCGCTGCCAAAGGTGGTTCAACAAAGTACTTATACTTTAATTTAGTATAAATAAATAAAAAATAAAAATAAACTGTTTTTGCTTTGTCATTATGGGTTATTGTGTGTAGATTGATGAGAGCCCCCCCCCAAATTTAATCCATTTTAGAATAAGGCTGTAATGTAACAAAATGTGGAAAAAGTAAAGGGGTCTGAATACTGTATATGGATAGGGATAAATTGAAATGTTTCTTACAGAATAAATATGAAAAGCATATACATAAGCATGGTAGCAATTGAAAGGGAACAGTTTGGAGATTATGGGGAAATTATTAGATCAAAGTTGAGGACACAACCGTTTACCTGACACAAGACTGAATCCAAACATTACAGTGTTGATTTTATGTGGATTTTACATTTTCTGTACTTTTCGCTGCATTTATTAATAACGAAATCAGAAAATACTCTGAATACATTCAGTAACATGATAAGAATATTCCTGGGAAATGTGTGGTAGGTGCAACATAAGAAAAAAATGACAAGGGTTTGAGTGAGAGCACTAACTGGTGTCTCCAAGTGGCCACACACCTCTCCAAAGTGTGTACAGTTCCTTAGTAATTTCAATGCACTTTTGTGACTCAAAGAAGAATCTTCAACTATAACCATGTTCCATCCACAGTTTTTATGCTAGTAAAATCATACCGTATAAAACATAATCCTGAAAGCCGTGAGCTAAAAAGAAGGCAGCTAAATAAGTATACCGACATAGAAGCTTTCAATTAAATACTGGTCGGACTCGGATCAGGGGAGCGATTTGGACAGTGGGTATTTCGACTCGGCCGACGAAGATTGCTTTCTAGAAGGATTGGATCCACTTTGAGATCTGTAAGTAAATTATTTTCATGACTTTATATAGCTCATTTACTATATGTATTTCGTTTTTAATAAATTGTCTGCTTTTTTTGCTTTGGATTTTTGCTTTGGATTTATATAGGCCTATGTAACAAGTAATTTCAATGTTATATAATTCCAAAGTAGTTATTGTCAATGTTTCATATTAGTTCACTGTTTGCTGTTCTGTTTCATCCTTGTAACTTTGGAGAGGCCCCTAAACTCTCATGGCCATTGTTTATTTGTGGTTCTCACCTCTGCCTTTGTCTCCAAAGTGTCACTGTTTGCAGTGTGTGCTTCATATCTATGTGAATCACTGTACAGATAAAGTTTAGGCTTGGTGTTTTTACTTTACAGTAAATACTTTACAGTAATGTCGTGTCTTACAACAATATATCCCTTTATTTTATTCACCACAGAGTGGAGGATGCAGAGCATTTGAATGATGACATTTGGGAGCCACTCCTCAAGGTCTTCACCCCCCACTGCTATGTCAATCACCCCATCTGATGGTTCTACATCCACTTTTCATTGACCTCTTGAAAAATATCATAGGGTCTTGTGGCACCATTCGTCCTAACAGAATCGGTTTCCCCAAGACCAAGGTAAACCACATGACAAAGACAGCGTAGAGGGGGACCATACATTGGATCAGGACTAACAAGCTGCTTTTTGTGAAATGGAAGGACACTAAGGAAGTAACCATGCTCACCACACAGCATAAGGCATTCAATAACAACTATGTGTCAAGGATGGTGAAAAAGGAAGAATGGAAAAACGAAGAATGTCCCCGTTTCTGTGAAGGACTACAATACCACTATGGGGGGGTGTCGACCTATCTGATACTCTGATAGGCTACTACCAGGTCCTCCAAAAGACCAGGAAGTGGTATAAGACTTTTTTTTAAACCCCTTTGTGGACATTGCTACAGTAAATGCTTTCATTCTCCACAAGCAGATGGCCAAAGCAAAAGGTCAAACCCCTCTCTCCCAGTTGGCCTTCCGAGAGCAGCTGGTTTTGGAAATGGCTGAATTGAGGGCCAAAAGCAACCTCACAAAACCCCCCACTCAAGGTGAGCGCCACTATCCAACTCACAAGACAAAAGATAGAACTGCAAGCATTGCACAAAACACGGGGGGAAAAAGGGTGAAATGCCAGATCTTCTCTCCGAAATGCCAGTTCGCTTTTTGTTTCGTGGCAGAGAGGGACTGCTTCAAAGACTATCACGACATGCACAAGCTATGTTGAAAGTGAAATCTAATCATCTACACCTGGGATGTAAAACGAACACGAATGCCATTTGTAAATAGTTCCGCATATTTCTATTTTTGCACCTTTTTTAGCAAAGGACACGTGTGTAACCAAGTTTGTGTTTGATAAGACATTTTACTGGTTGTTCCTTAAAAGTAATTTCCTCTCAATCTTAAATAAACATGCCCCATTCAAAAAATACAGAACTAAGAACCGATATAGCCCCTGGTTCTCCTCAGACTTGACTGCCCTTGACCAGCACAAAAACATCCTGTGGCGTACAGCATTAGCATCAAATAGCCCCCGCGATATGCAACTTTTCAGGGAAGTTAGGAACCAATATACACAAGCAGTCAGGAAAGCAAAGGCTAACTTTTTCAAACAGAAATTTGCATCCTGTAGCACTAACTCCAAAAAGTTTTGGGACACTGTAAAGTCCATGGAGAATAAGAGCACTTCCTCCCAGCTGCCCACTGCACTGAGGCTAGGAAACACTATCACCACCGATAAATCTACAATAATCGAGAATTTCAACAAGCATTTTGCTACAGCTGGCCATGCTTTCCATCTGGCTACCACTAACCCGGCCACCAACTCTGCACCCTCTGCTGCAACTTGCCCATGCCCCCCCCGCTTCTCCTTCACACAAATTCAGACAGCTGATGTTTTGAAAGCGCTGCAAAATCTGGACCCCTACAAATCAGCTGGGCTAGACAATCTGGACCCTTTCTTCCTAAAACTAGCCGCCGAAATTGTCGCAACCCCTATTACTAGTCTGTTCAACCTCTCTTTCATAACGTCTGAGATCCCCAGAGATTGGAAAGCTGCCGCGGTCATCCCCCTCTTCAAAGGGGGTGACACTCTAGATCCAAACTGCTACAGACCTATATCCATCCTGCCCTGCCTTTCGAAAGTATTCGAAAGCCAAGTTAATAAACAGATCATCGACCATTTCGAATACCACCGTACCTTCTCCGCTATGCAATCTGGTTTCCGAGCTGGTCACGGGTGCACTTCAGCCACGCTCAAGGTCCTAAACGATATTATAACCGCGATTGATAATAGACAGTACTGTGCAGCCGTCTTCATCGACCTGGCCAAGGCTTTCGACTCTGTCAACCACCGCATTCTTATTGGCAGACTAAATAGCCTTGGTTTCTCAAATGACTGCCTCGCCTGGTTCACCAACTACTTCTCAGATAGAGTTCAGTGTGTCAAATCGGAGGGCCTGTTGTCTGGACCTATGGCAGTCTCTATGGGGGTGCCACAGGGTTCAATTCTTGGGCCGACACTTTTCTCCGTGTATATCAATGATGTCGCTCTTGCTGCTGGTGACTCTCAGATCCACCTCTACGCAGACGACACCATTTTGTATACATCTGGCCCTTCATTGGACACTGTGTTAACAAACCTCCAAACGAGCTTCAATGCCATACAACAATCCTTCAGTAGCCTTCAACTGCTCTTAAACACTAGTAAAACTAAATGCATGCTTTTCAATCGAACGCTGCTAGCACCCGCCCACCCGACTAGAATCACCACTCTCGACGGGTCTGACCTAGAGTATGTGGACAACTACAAATATCTAGGTGTCTGGTTAGACTGTAAACTCAACTTCCAGACTCACATAAAGAATCTCCAATCCAAAGTTAAATCTAGAATCGGCTTCCTATTTCGCAACAAAGCCTCCTTCACTCATGCTGCCAAACATGCCCTCGTAAAACTGACTATCCTACCGATCCTTGACTTCGGCGATGTCATTTATAAAATAGCCTCCAACACTCTACTCAGCAAATTGGATGTAGTCTATCACAGTGCCATCCGTTTTGTCTCCAAAGCCCCATACACTACCCACCACTGTGACCTGTACGCTCTTGTTGGCTGGTCCTCACTACATGTTCGTCGTCAAACCCACTGGCTCCAGGCCATCTATAAATCACTGCTAGGCAAATCCCCGCCTTATCTTAGCTCATTGGTCACCATAGCAGCACCCACCCGTAGTCTGCGCTCCAGCAGGTATATCTCACTGGTCATTCCCAAAGCCAACACCTCCTTTGGCCGCCATTCCTTCCAGTTCTCTGCTGCCAATGACTGGAACGAATTGCAAAAATCTCTGAAGCTGGAGACTCTTATCTCCCTCAATAACTTTAAGCATCAGTTGTCAGAGCACCTTACCGATCACTGCACCTGTACACAGCCCATCTGAAATTAGCCCACCCAACTACCTCATCCCTATATTGTTATTTAATTTGCTCTTTTGCAGTCCAGTATCTCTATTTGCACATAATCTCTTGCACATCTAGCATTCCAGTGTTAATACTATTGTAATTATTCTGCACTATAGCCTATTTATTGCCTTACCTCCATAACTTGCTACATTTGCACACACTGTATATATATTTTCTGTTGTATCTCTGACTTTATGTTTTTTTTACCCCATATGTAACTCTGTGTTGTTTTTGTTGCACTACTTTGCTTTGTCTTGGCCAGGTCGCAGTTGTAAATGAGAACCTGTTCTCAACTGGCTTACCTGGTTAAATAAAGGTGAAATAAAATAAAATAAATAAATAAATATTTTCTAATGTATATCTGTTGCTTTTGATATTGTTTATTTGTATGTGGGACCAATACATTGGATATGCCTAGGCTAAACGTTCAGGCACTTTGGAGAGGATGAAAAAACACTTGGATATCCCCTATACAGTGGGGAAAAAAAGTATTTAGTCAGCCACCAATTGTGCAAGTTCTCCCACTTAAAAAGATGAGAGAGGCCTGTAATTTTCATCATAGGTACACGTCAACTATGACAGACAAATGGAGGGAAAAAAATCCAGAAAATCACATTGTAGGATTTTTAATGAATTTATTTGCAAATTATGGTGGAAAATAAGTATTTGGTCACCTACAAACAAGCAAGATTTCTGGCTCTCACAGACCTGTAACTTCTTCTTTAAGAGGCTCCTCTGTCCTCCACTCGTTACCTGTATTAATGGCACCTGTTTGAACTTGTTATCAGTATAAAAGACACCTGTCCACAACCTCAAACAGTCACACTCCAAACTCCACTATGGCCAAGACCAAAGAGCTGTCAAAGGACACCAGAAACAAAATTGTAGACCTGCACCAGGCTGGGAAGACTGAATCTGCAATAGGTAAGCAGCTTGGTTTGAAGAAATCAACTGTGGGAGCAATTATTAGGAAATGGAAGACATACAAGACCACTGATAATCTCCCTCGATCTGGGGCTCCACGCAAGATCTCACCCCGTGGGGTCAAAATGATCACAAGAACGGTGAGCAAAAATCCCAGAACCACACGGGGGGACCTAGTGAATGACCTGCAGAGAGCTGGGACCAAAGTAACAAAGCCTACCATCAGTAACACACTACGCCGCCAGGGACTCAAATCCTGCAGTGCTAGACGTGTCCCCCTGCTTAAGCCAGTACATGTCCAGGCCCGTCTGAAGTTTGCTAGAGTGCATCCAGAAGAGGATTGGGAGAATGTCATATGGTCAGATGAAACCAAAATATAACTTTTTGGTAAAAACTCAACTCGTCGTGTTTGGAGGACAAAGAATGCTGAGTTGCATCCAAAGAACACCATACCTACTGTGAAGCATGGGAGTGAAAACATCATACTTTGGGGCTGTTTTTCTGCAAAGGGACCAGGACGACTGATCCGTGTAAAGGAAAGAATGAATGGGGCCATGTATCGTGAGATTTTGAGTGAAAACCTCCTTCCATCAGCAAGGGCATTGAAGATGAAACGTGGCTGGGTCTTTCAGCATGACAATGATCCCAAACACACCGCCCGGGCAACGAAGGAGTGGCTTCGTAAGAAGCATTTCAAGGTCCTGGAGTCTCAAGATCTCAACCCCATAGAAAATCTTTGGAGGGAGTTGAAAGTCCGTGTTGCCCAGCGACAGCCCCAAAACATCACTGCTCTAGAGGAGATCTGCATGGAGGAATGGGCCAAAATACCAGCAACAGTGTGTGAAAACCTTGTGAAGACTTACAGAAAACGTTTGACCTGTGTCATTGCCAACAAAGGGTATATAACAAAGTATTGAGAAACTTTTGTTATTGACCAAATACTTATTTTCCACCATAATTTGCAAATAAATTCATAAAAAATCCTACAATGTGATTTTCTGGATTTTTTTTCCTCATTTTGTCTGTCATAGTTGACGTGTACCTATGATGAAAATTACAGGCCTCTCTCATCTTTTTAAGTGGGAGAACTTGCACAATTGGTGGCTGACTAAATACTTTTTTTCCCCACTGTATGTCCCCCGACACCACCACAATGTTTGAGGGAGGTTGGTGTTATAGAAATTTAGTTTTTGTAGTGAACAATAACTTTTAGGCACATCCAGTGTGCAAAAACAGTGCAATTACCACATTCGGACACTTTGGAGAGGTTGAAAGGACACTTGAATGTACCCTGGATACCCCATAACACCACCAGAATGTTTGAGTCAGGTTGATATGGAAGAAATTGTGTTTTTATACTGAACAAATAGCATTTAGGGATTGCAAATATGTAATAGCACTGTAATGATCTAATTTACAGACATATGCCACTTTGGAGAGGTTTAGGGACACTTGGAAACGGTCCGTGACCACACCTGACACCACTTACTTAAACATCTGCCCATTTCTAGTTGTTAGGTCTATCAATCCCATTTTTTTCTGATATTGTTCACATGTTGTGGAAGCCATCTGATGTGTTTCCAGCTCTGGGAATCAATAATTCACTTATAGCTTGTCAATGAAAGATGACTTCCAAAATATATATATATTTTAAAATGGTTATTTTGTGTGTGCTTGATCTTGTGTATTCTGAACTATGTAACTCCTATCGATAATTTCCTCATAATCTACCAGATGTCTTTTCTCCAAATATACCAAGTTTTGGCATGTCAGAATCATGTAATTATGCATGAATAGCAGTTACTTTTTGGTATTACATTTAAGAGGTTAACCCGGAAGCCAGCCTCACCAATGTGTCGGAAGAAACACCGTCCAGCTGGCGACCGAAGTCAGCTTGCAGGCGCCAAGCCCGTCACAAAGAGTCGCTACAGCACGACGGGACAAGGAAATCCCGGCCGGCCAAACCCTCCCCTAACCCGGACGACGCTGGGCCAATTGTGCGCCGCCTCATGGGTCTCCCGGTCACGGCTGGCTGTGACACAGCCTGGGATCAAACCCAGGTCTGTAGTGACGCCTCAAGCACTGCGATGCAGTGCCTTAGACCGCTGCGCCACTCGGGAGGCCTGCCTAGTCACTTTTACCCCTACCTACATGTACATATTACCTCAATTACCTCGTACCCCTGCACATTGACTCAGTACTGGTACTCCTTGTATATAGCCTCATTATTATTTTATTGTGTTACTATTTCCTTCGAAAATGCCTGTAACTTTATTTAGACATAGCCTATTTAAAACAAGTTGTTTTGTTTTTATTAGAATTTGATTCGAATTATAAACTGTATTTTTAGACCTTATCAATAGCCTAGTGAATTTAATCTAGTTTATTGACTACGTTTGGCATGTCCATGTCCAGACTGCAACTTATAAAAGGCTTCCCCCTATATCAGTGTGAATGCTATAGCCTATGTTTAACAATGTAATTCCATATTGAAGCAATGCAATGAGAACAATGGGGACTGCAAACATGTTCAACATATTTAGAAAATATGGGGCAGGCTATTTAAACCCCTAGGCTATTACGGACTAACATTCTAATTAGAGTTGATGACTACGCAATACATAAGACTGTAAATACACAACTTGAAGCAACCACATTTTTAGCCATAGAGCACGTTCTGATTGGCCAGAGAGGGGCCAAGCTTCGACACACACTACTTGTTTATTCATCAAAACCCAGCCCTTTCGCACCACCGCCAGCTACTGCGGCCATAATTCCGGTTGTGAAAATAACTAAAATATTTCTGACACCACCAAACCTATAATGCTTCCGCCAGTGATAAGATTTACCATTGCGTTAGGTTTGTTAAAATAGAGCCCACAACCTTCAAGTGATAGTTCACTCCAAAATCAAAGTTTGTCAGATGTTTTCAGACCTCAAAGGTGGTCTACTGTAGCCCTTAAAATTCACGTTTTTTTTGGTATTCTATTTCATGTCCCCAGTATCACAAACGAATTTCAAACAAATAAATGATTTTTGAATTTCATTGAAAGTAATCAATAACTTGTGGTATTCTGATTTGTCAAAAACAAATGACCGATTTATTTTCTTTGTTGATTGACAGGTGTGGTGGAAACCACAGGTATCACCATGCAGGCGCGTACTTCCTACACCCCCGAGGAGATTCTGTGGGGCCGGCGTTTTGTTTCCATCATGACGGAGGAGGATGGCCGCTACTCAGTGGACTACTCGAAGTTCGGGAACACTGTCCCTGTGCGCATGCCCTCCCTCAGCGCCAAGGAGCTGGACCAGATACGAGGAGTGCAGGAGGGGGACGTGCCTGAAGGCCAGCTACAGGGCTGGGGATTGGTCAGGGCTGGCAGGGGAGGGTTCCGAAGAGGGGGCCGGACTTGTGATAGCAGCTCTGCCTCCCGGCCCTGGTATGCAGCACAGCCAGAGAAAGAGGAGCATGTGAAAGCAAAGGAGAAGAATGGGCAGAAGAAAACAGTTCAGCTAGAAGAGATTGGCCGAAAGATTGAGGTGGAAGGTCTGGGAGACTTTAGTGACAGAGAATAGTAAAATTGATGCGTGAAAATAAGGTACATGTATTGATATACAGTGGGGAAAAAAAGTATTTAGTCAGCCACCAATTGTGCAAGTTCTCCCACTTAAAAAGATGAGAGAGGCCTGTAATTTTCATCATAGGTACACGTCAACTATGACAGACAAAATGAGGAAAAAAAATCCAGAAAATCACATTGTAGGATTTTTTATGAATTTATTTGCAAATTATGGTGGAAAATAAGTATTTGGTCACCTACAAACAAGCAAGATTTCTGGCTCTCACAGACCTGTAACTTCTTCTTTCAGAGGCTCCTCTGTCCTCCACTTGTTACCTGTATTAATGGCACCTGTTTGAACTTGTTATCAGTATAAAATACACCTGTCCACAACCTCAAACAGTCACACTCCAAACTTCACAATGGCCAAGACCAAAGAGCTGTCAAAGGACACCAAAAACAAAATTGTAGACCTGCACCAGGCTGGGAAGACTGAATCTGCAATAGGTAAGCAGCTTGGTTTGAAGAAATCAACTGTGGGAGCAATTATTAGGAAATGGAAGACATACAAGACCACTGATAATCTCCCTCGATCTGGGGCTCCACGCAAGATCTCACCCCGTGGGGTCAAAATGATCACAAGAACGGTGAGCAAAAATCCCAGAACCACACGGGGGGACCTAGTGAATGACCTGCAGAGAGCTGGGACCAAAGTAACAAAGCCAACCATCAGTAACACACTACGCCGCCAGGGACTCAAATCCTGCAGTGCGAGACGTGTCCCCCTGCTTAAGCCAGTACATGTCCAGGCCCATCTGAAGTGCATTTGGATGATCCAGAAGAGGATTGGGAGAATGTCATATGGTCAGATGAAACCAAAATATAACTTTTTGGTAAAAACTCAACTCGTCATGTTTGGAGGACAAAGAATGCTGAGTTGCATCCAAAGAACACCATACCTACTGTGAAGCATGGGGGTGGAAACATCATGCTTTGGGGCTGTTTTTCTGCAAAGGGACCAGGACGACTGATCCGTGTAAAGGAAAGAATGAATGGGGCCATGTATCGTGAGATTTTGAGTGAAACCCTCCTTCCATCAGCAAGGGCATTGAAGATGAAACGTGGCTGGGTCTTTCAGCATGACAATGATCCCAAACACACCGCCCGGGCAACGAAGGAGTGGCTTCGTAAGAAGCATTTCAAGGTCCTGGAGTGGCCTAGCCAGTCTCCAGATCTCAACCCCATAGAAAATCTTTGGAGGGAGTTGAAAGTTTGTGTTGCCCAGCGACAGCCCCAAAACATCACTGCTCTAGAGGAGATCTGCATGGAGGAATGGGACAAAATACCAGCAACAGTGTGTGAAAACCTTGTGAAGACTTACAGAAAACGTTTGACCTGTGTCATTGCCAACAAAGGGTATATAACAAAGTATTGAGAAACTTTTGTTATTGACCAAATACTTATTTTCCACCATCATATGCCAATAAATTCATAAAAAATCCTACAATGTGATTTTCTGGATTTTTTTTCCTCATTTTGTCTGTCATAGTTGACGTGTACCTATGATGAAAATTACAGGCCTCTCTCATCTTTTTAAGTGGGAGAACTTGCACAATTGGTGGCTGACTAAATACTTTTTTTCCCCACTGTAATGCTCTAGTAAAATTATTACCTTTTGTTGTCATTTTATTTTTGTAGTTGTGTTGACATAGGGCTTTATTCAGTCCACACCACGGAAGTTTAGTTTTACAGCTGATTGAAATTTAAAGGCAATGTTCCCGCTTTAGTTGGCTCAATCAGAAATTACCTTTAAATGTATATATGCGGGATCTGTAACACGTCAGCTTTAAAGATTGAATATTATTCAACAGTATTGTCATTCTTATTTTACCTTTTAACATAAATTAAGTTAAATTGTAAGAAAGCACATGTGTAGCCTCAAGGAGCTCATGATAATCACAATGGAGAGGATTCCCAGAAGCCTTTTTATAACCCACTGTATCCCATAATAATACCACAGGATGTTTAAGATGTATTTATTTGTATTTATTGATAACCAATTTTTGATGTGAACATTAAATTATATTAAATGTTGTGCAAACAACTGGTGTAATAGCAACTTTCCCTACCCACATCCGTCCGACAAATTGTCATAAAAAAAATATAAATTGAAACCATTTCAGAAAAGATTAACTGTTTAAATAATTAAAAGGTGCACTTGGCCGTACTTTCAAAAGTGTGTCTTAAATTGCAGTGTGTTGATGGAGTATCCAATACTTTTGTTGCTTTTTTTTTTTGCTAGCTAGTAAGCTAGCTGCTGGTTGGACGTTGTATTTTGAGGAAACTTAACAGTCCATTTAGGGCAGCTACAGGCTACTGTGGATAACCCCCTTGCTATTACAAACAGGGTTACAAAGAAACGTGAAACAGTCTCTTTCATATACCAGTAGGTCATTTTATTGGTTTGGGTGAGTCTTTTACAAGTGAGGATAAAACTGATTGACAATTTACAACTTTTAACATGGTTTAAAATGTTAAATGTTAATATTATTGAAACATATTTCTTATCACAAAATGTAAAACACTGGGGAAATACATTTTCAATTTACATTTTTTTCCAGTCTTGACTTGGGTGAGTACGTGCCTAGGTCGGTGAATAGACTACTAGCATATCCCATCCCATCTGTGCAGCCTATCTTCGTGACTATTCTGCCTTCCAAGTAAAACTGATTAATCATCATGGTAAAATGAGGCTGTGGTAAGTGTACATAAAGTGGGAGGAAACCCTCCTTCAGACTACAGTAGCTAACACATTATTCATTATTACGGCCTCCTGTAGCTCAGTTGGTAGAGCATGGCGCTTGCAACGCCAGGGTTGTGGGTTCGATTCCCACGGGGGGGGCAGTATGAAAAATGTATGCACTCACTAACTGTAAGTCGCTCTGGATAAGAGCATCTGCTAAATGACAAAACAAAAAAAAAATATTGGATGAACGAGGTTGTCTTAGCCTGATGCTTCTGAAGCTAATGGCCTAACCCAAATATGCACATAAAACTGTCAAGGATCAATTTACAACAACGAAAATAAATAAACATTTAGATTTCTATTTTGAGTGTTCCTCTAGGTTAGTTCACTGAAACAAAAGCATGTGCGAAAACAGGAAGACTGCAGCTAAGTCAGACATTGTTCATCCACAATTTAAACAACAAATTGAACTCGATCAACAATAACAACCTAAATTCATATCACTGACTGCAATCAATCTCCAGCTCCATTGACGGCTCTGCATGGCAGTTGGAGCTCACAGTGAGGACCACCAGAAGACCAACAGTGACCCCATCAAAGCGAAAACTGGCCATCTCGTGGCAAAAGTGGTACTACTGTTACACAGGTTGCTGTTGCAACACCGGTAGGTGAATCCGGAGACTGCAGGGAACATCTGGGACAGCCGAGAATTGTCACAGTCTGTGTATCTGATACACTGTCGAATTGTCTTCCCACCTAAACAGAATAAAACTGTTATTCAATCACAATCAAATACCGTAGACTAAAAATAGGAATATACTAAATGTGTATGAAAGTTTCAGCCAATGTCCTACAAATGGTGTAATCAGATTTCAATGTAAGATTTACCCATCCAAAAGCCTATAGCAAACATATTTACATTACATTTTAATCATATAAGACACTCTTATCCAAAATGACTTTAAAACACACCTCTTTCACTCAGAGATAAACAGGAATCTTCATAAGTGCAGTCTTGAACATTTTCGCAGCGCCCTGTGTAATCGGAACACTTGAAGCACCGAAGTGCACAGCCTAAAAAAAACAAATATTTTAGTGAGTAGGTTATTTGAAGTCAGAGATATTTTCAAACATCCAATTTATACATTAAGTTTGCATCGCTCTGAGTACAATTAAGTTTGCATGAATCCAAGGCAAGAAAACATTTGCAGTGATCTAAGAATTAAACTACAAACTGCTTTTTTTTTTCATGCCAACATATTAAACACATCAGAAACATATCATATATAACATGTCACAAAATGAAGCAATTCTTCAAATGAATGAGTTGTTTAGTATTCCTCATCTTTCACCAAAACATGTGATATAGGAAGTACAGTAGTAGTCAAACCTCATACAGCAATTTAAAAGCGCACTACAGCCAAAGTGCACTTACCCAAATCGAGTATCCCAAAACAGACCACCAAGCATAGTCCAAGGGAGCGCTTCATTTTTGCTGCCTCGTATTGTCCCCTAAAATACAGTATTCTTAAGGAAAATTTGAAATCTGCAGACAAACTAGATCAAACACATGAATCATCAAGCTGTATCCTTCTTGTAGCAGTCAGTATGTAAAGTCTTAACCATTCCCAGATACCCTCCAAGAATACAAAGGGAATTAAGACAAAGGTTAAATTAAGTTGCTAACCAGGACACAATCAATACTCACACCTACTCTATTGATTAGCGTTATGCCTCCTCCAAGTTCAGCATGAAATGACCGGCAGCAGTCAGGCTGACCTATCTAATATGAAGACTTCTTTGTCCAGTACAAAGGGTCTCTGTCAAACTCTGCTCCTCCCCCAGTCCCCAGAGGAACTGTTTAATTCTGTCTTACTGGTTCTGGCATTCTTTCTATGGAGAATATTTCAACAAAACATGCACCCAGAATATAACAAAAATAAATGTATGTGCATTTTATTAATGTCATATCAAGACGTATTTTTACTTTCCTTACTCTGCTTTTCAGGACAACCTATGAAAGGTTACCTACTTTAGCTGGAAAACAAACCTGTCTGTCAAAATACAAAAAAATTACTTCACTAATTCAAGTCCCTTGTGTTATTACAAATGTGTGATGCTCCCTCTAACACCAATGGAGCAAAGTCTAGGGCAACAGAGTACCCTGCAGTATTAAGGAACTGGTATGGAAGGTAGCCTACAAGCGATTGTCAACATTTCATATACATTTGCTGGAATATGGAGTGTTTCATATGATCTGCAAAATACCTATATACCTAAAATATTTTTAGAAATGGCAATGGTTTGCATATTGGCATTGCCTGCCTAAAGTTGGATAGGGAACTACCAGTCACCGGGGATGACACACTGATGATTTCAGACATCTTTTCAGCACGCCCAGCTGGTGTTTACAAAAGGCATACTGTGTCAGTGTCCATCTGTGTTCTGTATACAGACATCTAGAAGTCCAGTTCATGCCCTCTCTATGGGTCTCATGTGTAAGCATTTGTATGTGATTATCAGTTTGTGCTTTTGACAATATTGCATTGAGAACACTTTTTTCCTTCCAAGGGAACTGAAATAATTGTATGTGATTTATGCAATTAATGTAACAAATGGTTAGTCTTGCAGAATATAATGACTAATACAAGAAAGCCAGGCCATCTGCACTCTTTTGAGACAAAATGGACGTCATGACGACAAAATAATTGGCCCAGCCACTTATCGCTATAGATGGGCCTCAACAAAGACTACTTGATTGCCCTCTTGCTTGTAAGCATGTATACTATTCAACATGATGATGGGTTTATGTAGGACAAGAGCATTATTTTGTTAAATTACAATGAAATCTCTATAAAAAAATAAATTATAAAACGATTTAAGAAATAATAAATCACTACTTCAGCTTAGTTTAGTTACCCATTGATTTCTGAACCTCACATGAGATTGAAACTAAACTAGCCAGACAAAGCTGTGCTTTGAGTACAATAAGAGTTTCTTAAAATACCATGGAAAATATTTTATTAAACAATTATTTGCGCCATATAGATATTCTTACAATGTAAATTACAGGGGGTCTATACATTTTCATATTTTCATGTATACATGTTATATGAATATATATGGATATACAGTGGGGGAAAAAAGTATTTAGTCAGCCACCAATTGTGCAAGTTCTCTCACTTAAAAAGATGAGAGAGGCCTGTAATTTTCATCATAGGTACACGTCAACTATGACAGACAAAATGAGGAAAAAAAATCCAGAAAATCACATTGTAGGATTTTTTATGAATTTATTTGCAAATTATGGTGGAAAATAAGTATTTGGTCACCTACAAACAAGCAAGATTTCTGGCTCTCACAGACCTGTAACTTCTTTAAGAGGCTCCTCTGTCCTCCACTCGTTACCTGTATTAATGGCACCTGTTTGAACTTGTTATCAGTATAAAAGACACCTGTCCACAACCTCAAACAGTCACACCCCAAACTCCACTATGGCCAAGACCAAAGAGCTGTCAAAGGACACCAGAAACAAAAGTGTAGACCTGCACCAGGCTGGGAAGACTGAATCTGCAATAGGTAAGCAGCTTGGTTTGAAGAAATCAACTGTGGGAGCAATTATTAGGAAATGGAAGACATACAAGACCACTGATAATCTCCCTCGATCTGGGGCTCCATGCAAGATCTCACCCCGTGGGGTCAAAATGATCACAAGAACGGTGAGCAAAAATCCCAGAACCACACGGGGGGACCTAGTGAATGACCTGCAGAGAGCTGGGACCAAAGTAACAAAGCCTACCATCAGTAACACACTACGCCGCCAGGGACTCAAATCCTGCAGTGCCAGACGTGTCCCCCTGCTTAAGCCAGTACATGTCCAGGCCCGTCTGAAGTTTGCTAGAGTGCATTTGGATGATCCAGAAGAGGATTGGGAGAATGTCATATGGTCAGATGAAACTAAAATATAACTTTTTGGTAAAAACTCAACTCGTCGTGTTTGGAGGACAAAGAATGCTGAGTTGCATCCAAAGAACACCATACCTACTGTGACAGCATGGGGGTGGAAACATCATGCTTTGGGGCTGTTTTTCTGCAAAGGGACCAGGGCGACTGATCCGTGTAAAGGAAAGAATGAATGGGGCCATGTATCGTGAGATTTTGAGTGAAAACCTCCTTCCATCAGCAAGGGCATTGAAGATGAAACGTGGCTGGGTCTTTCAGCATGACAATGATCCCAAACACACCGCCCGGGCAACGAAGGAGTGGCTTCGTAAGAAGCATTTCAAGGTCCTGGAGTGGCCTAGCCAGTCTCCAGATCTCAACCCCATAGAAAATCTTTGGAAGGAGTTGAAAGTCTGTGTTGCCCAGTGACAGCCCCAAAACATCACTGCTCTAGAGGAGATCTGCATGGAGGAATGGGCAAAAATACCAGCAACAGTGTGTGAAAACCTTGTGAAGACTTACAGAAAACGTTTGACCTGTGTCATTGCCAACAAAGGTATATAACAAGTATTGAGAAACTTTTGTTATTGACCAAATACTTTTTCCACCATAATTTGCAAATAAATTCATAAAAAATCCTACAATGTGATTTTCTGGATTTTTTTCTTTCTCATTTTGTCTGTCATAGTTGACGTGTACCTATGATGAAAATTACAGGCCTCTCTCATCTTTTTAAGTGGGAGAACTTGCACAATTGGTGGCTGACTAAATACTTTTTTCCCCCACTGTATGTACACATTATACTCATGTTTACAGACAGGTTTATATGTTTCCAGTGTTAAATGCATCCAAACAGGTACCACTTAATTGTGTTAGAGATTAATTAGTAACGTTTTACATTAAGTACCCTTTAATGGGGGTTGTGCACTGTAATCAACTACTACAGTTATTAATAACGGTACAGCGGCATCATGCACCTCAAAAATCTGAGAGGGCACAAAGTATGTGAGGACGGCTGGGGGGGTGGTCGATAGGGGGGCTAGGCCCCTCCGTCTTTTTTCCTGCAATATGGAGCCATAATCATGATGCTTAATTAAATGTTTAAAAAAACATGTTTCTTTTTCTGCATATCTAAGCATACATCTTGAACGGTATGTATCCTTCTGACTTATGGTTATTATTTTTTAAAGAAAATAAATATGCTTCTCTGCAAAGATTGAAAGGAAAGTCTTATTCAGTACATTTAGTAAATGCTTGCTTTTCTAAAGTCTACCAACCTTGCCAGCAGGCATGCAAGCTAAGATAGTTAGACAAGCTAGCTACTCGAACTTCATTGATAGCCTGAAATGGCTTCTTGGTATCTAGTTATGAGGTTGGGAATCTATCTGTGCTAGCTAAAGGCAACCTCATAAAATTGCTAGGTGGCTAGTAGTATTACAGAAAAAAAAAAGTAATATATTTTTGTATTAATTTTTCAACAGGACAAATCTGAGGGGGCACGTGCCCCTGTGCCCGCTATGGGCATGACACCTCTGGCGGCATAATCACACTATTTGACAAAATGACTATTCCAATCTGAATGAGTTATACACTGTATGTTTCTGATTTATCAATGATTGATGAACTACTGTTAATTAATAATGAATTGTTTTTAAACTATACTGAACAAAAATATAAAACGCAACATGCAACAATTTCAACGATATTACTGAGTTACAGTTCATATAAGGAAATCAGTCAATTTAAATAAATTCATTAGGCCCTAATCTATGGATTTCACATGACTGGGCAGGGGCGCAGCCATGGGTGGGCCTGGGAAGGCATAGGCCCACCCACTTGGGAGCCAGGCCCAGCCAATCAGAATGAGTTTTTACCCACAAAAGGGCTTTACTACAGACAGAAATACTCCTCAGCTTTATCAGCTATCCGGGAGCCTGGTCTCAGACCATCCCGCAGGCGAAGAAGCCGGATGTGGAGGTCCTGGGCTGGCGTGGTTACACGTGGTCTACGGTTGTGAGGCTGGTTGGACGTACTGCCAAATTCTCTAAAACGATGTTGGAGGCAGCTGGCTGATGGTAGAGAAATTAAGATTCAATTCTCTGGCAACAGATCTGGTGGACATTCCTGCAGTCAGCATGCCAATTGCACGCTCCCTCAAAACTTGAGACATCTGTGGCATTGTGTTGTGTGATAAAACTGCACATTTTTGAGTGGCCTTTTGTCTCCAGCACAAGGTGCACCTGTGTAATGATCACACCGTTTAATCAGCTTCTTGATATACCACACCTGTCAGGTGGATGGATTATCTTGGCAAAGGAGAAATGCTCACTAACAGGGATGTAAACAAATGTGTGCACAACATTTGAGAGAAATAAGCTTTTTGTGCATATGGAACATTTCTGGGATCTTTTATTTCAGCTCATGAAACATGGGACCAACACTTTACATGTTGTGTTTATATTTTTGTTCATTATACATATAAACCCTTTACAACCCCCTTAAAGGGTACCTAAATGTGAAGTGTTACCGATTAAGGTAAATGTTTGTATTGTTAATTTCTCCCTTTTCAAAAACAGAGTGATATAAGAGTGCAGGCATTTCAACCATTCAAAAGTAATCGTTGCAATTTTCTCCCTCAAAAATGTATAAGAAAGAAATACACTAATACTACAGTATAACTGATTGACTTTCATTTGGCTGCATACAATATTGTGCATACATTAAAACGACATTGTGTATATTACAATATATCAAATGGTAGGCTAAATGTAGATCTGGAATTTGAATTTTGGTACAAGCTCAGTTTGGAAAATCTGAAATAGATGACAGTATACATCTAGATGCACTAGGAACAATTACTTATTTTTCTTGGTTTTGGCTCATGAATTAACATGCACATTTGCTGTGGACCTACTCACAACCATTAACATAAAGTATACAGAAATATAAACATATAAGGTGCAAAACAATCATTTATAGAATAAGCAAAACTCTACATACCCAGACCTAAGCTAAGTAAAAAGATGATCGGCCAAGATAACACACAAAAAGCATTCCTCTGAATATTTGCATTGTGGTGGCAAATATTTTTGGTGCTGTGATTGCAGTTGTGAAGTGATTGTTGACAACTTTTCTCTCCCTCGCTCAACCCCCCTGTCCCATGAATTACACAGCTGCTTATCGTTAAGAGTCCAGACATTTACATCTACATTTTAGTCATTTAGCAGACGCTCTTATCCAGAGCGACTTACAGTTAAGTGAGTGCATACATGTTCATACTGGCCCCCCGTGGGAAACGAAACCACAACCCTGGCGCTGCAAGCGCCATGCTCTACCAACTGAGCTACAGGGGACATGAAGTAAACAGAGTAATGAAAGCTAAATGGTTTTTGTGACATTTCATAGCATACCTCATTGAGGTAATAGTCTATATATCCACCCAAAACACATATGAAGAATGCATGTTGTTACTTAAATTGGCATGTCATAATTTGAAGATTACAATCGTGGTGCATATACAGTACAACAACCATGCAAACAAGCAAGTGTGCGTACCACTTAAAATTATTACAGTAATTAAAAGGTGAAATCAGAGGCTTAAAGCAGTCTGGCTCAGACACGTTCACCATGAAGTGGTATGCCAGGCCGTCATTGTAAATAAGAATTTGTTCTTAATTATTTCGCCTGGATAAATAAAGGTTAAATAGATTTTAAAAGTATGCCTTTGAGTAATTTAATTGTTGACAATTTAAAACAATATTTTGAAACCAACCAAAATGTTCAATGTAATATCCAAAATGATGCTCAAAAAACTCACTTTCAATATACAAGCAAAAATATACTTTGCCTATTAATGCATGGCCACTTATTAACTTTATATAGTGAATATAAAGTATAATACATGTACAATTGTAATTACATTTTGAACAGTAAAGTCAAAAAGTCTTAGTCATGAACCAACATGAGAGAAATGATCCCATCAACCTTAGTTAACAGTTACTCATACAGTTCAGTTCATATAACACAGGTGCAAAGTTAGTGGTTTGTGGGATTTTCAACACATTTCACTCCACTTTAAATTAGCTGAGTTTCGGACAACTGATGAAGTATATTATCTCAAAAGTGTTTTCAAAAAGCAAAGCAAAGAAAGATATCATTATATTATGTCAACACATTCCAGTTTCCAAACCCTTCTGAAATCTAAACTTTGGCGTGTACGACAACAACTGTAGCAGCCACAAATAATATGCTAAATGCATTTTAGGGAAACTTTCTGTCCACTACTTAATTTGGCATTGTCATTAAGTAAATGATATAATAAGATGGGGATTATTTTTTCCCTCTAAATGGTTGTTGAATTTGGCCATAAGTCATATAATACATATTGCACTCGTTGTGAATAAATTGTAGTGACATATGTCTCTCAAAGCTGTCTTGCATACATGATTTGGCAGAAGTATTACTAAAAAATACTTAAGAATAGATGCAAGAAATGTAAAGTATAAACAATATATTGAAGAAACCTTTTGGCTAATTTATGGCTATGTAAGCCAACTTTAAGCATGTTCACCTTGCTAAACTAATATTATACTTTAATATAAAGCAATAAGGCCCGAGGTGTGGTATATGGTCAATATACCACACACCCGAGGTGCCTTATTGCTATTATAAACTTGTTACCAACATAATTAGAACAGTAAACAAGTAATTTTGCATCATACCCATGGTATATTGTCTGATATACCACACCTTTCAGCCAATCAGCATCCAAACTACCCGCTTTATAATGAATAATATAGGCCTACATTTGTTTAGGCAATTTAAAAAGAATACATTCCTCCCGATGGAATCTTTTAAGACCTATAAAAGCCACAATAGAAATATCAATCACCATAGCAGTATATACCTGTACAAAACAACATTTAAACAAACCATATAATCTCTTGTGACGATGTGTGGCATAGCACCTTGGTTAGTTGTGAACTTTCACTTTATCAAGACTTTATCAACTTGCAATATGCTCTTATGGCACAATCTCATTCAATGTCATATGAACCAAACATTTAATAAGCCAAACAAACATTTACATTATAGTAAATGTATAGAAATCAAAGACTTGTTTGAAAGAGAAATAATTTGCATTGTTACAAAAAACATATACTTTTGAGCTATTAACCTATGGCATTTCCCAAATAATGTGTTGCAGCAGATTTTAAAAGCCCCACTAAATGATAATGGTCATCTCGAACAACAGAGTTGATACCAGTGATCAGCACATGCTCTAAATAAGTGGTATATGTTATACATACTTTAAATTCAACACTCATACAAACTGATTGTTTTCACTAAGTCAACTTCGCTGATTTGCCGTCTTGCCTTTTAAGACCAGCTTTGCCTCCTGAGCTTGACATAAATGTGTGCTCAACAGAAGTACAACTCTACTAGCTATGTTTCCATTTTCTAAAGTGATGCTGATCAGGCCATTTTAGCAGCAGGGCCATTGCACACTTTTATGGCCAATCACATTATAGCCCAGATCACCCCTCCCCCTCCGGGATGGCTTTTGGAATAAAGTGAAGTAAAGCCCTGGCCCTCATCAGTCAAATATCAGGGTAGAACTCTGTGTTCACATCCATGCTGTGCAGAACATACTTTTGTTCATTAGCCGACATTCTAGTCAGCATGTCGGCTGAGAGTGAATAGCTGTTGCCAGACTTCTCTTCAAACCAGCTGTCCAATGGTCGCTTGCCATCGAAGTTTGCTATCGGCGGCCCGTTGACTGCAAGGGTCAGTAGGTCATTCATCTGGTCCAGCGTCAGCCTTGAGCGGTTGTTCTTGCGCACTTTCTGCAGGGACCCCCGGCCTTTGTCACAGCAGGCAGTGGAAGTGGGCAAGACCCTGACAACTTGGAGTATGCGGTTAAGCAGAGGGAAGCGCTGCTTGTGCCTGGAGATTTGACTGACCACCTCCTTGAAGCCATTCATGCTGTAGTAGTCGGCTTTGAGGTCCCTCCACTCCACCAGCAGGCTGCCCCGAGCGTCTGTTCTGTCCCGCGACGCCTCCCGGACAGCCGAGGGGATCGCTTCAAGGTGGTCAAAGATGAGCAGGATCTCTTCCTCCCCGAAGGCTCGTAGTTCATCCCTGTTGCGTGGCCAGGTGGTGAGGTCGAGCACACGGCACGCCTTGACCACCGTGCGGCTGTGCATGTCGAGTCGCTGGGACAAGATGCCCTGGCTCTTCTGGCAGATCTTTTCGCGGATGGATTGGAACTTGGACTCGGCGACGCGCAAGTTATTCAGGTCTACGCCATTGAAGCTTTCGCGGAAGTTCTCCTCAAACTCCTGCAGATACTCCCCAGGGCAGTCCACTAGCTGACCGATCTCATGGATGGCCTCTTCGATCTTGGCGTCTACCTGAGACACCAGCAGGTAGTCCCCCTGAAAGATGAAGGCCAGGCGCGAAAGGACAGCGATGACATCCAGGAGAAAGTATATTAGCTTGACAGACTGGTAATCCATGAGGAACTGAAGTAGGGTCAAGGCGATGGCTGCTGCATCTGCCCTCTGCGTTTGGCTGCTGATATCCTTGAGGTGTGCCACCACCTCCAGGTAATCTTTGATAAGGGCATTCAGGACGTTTGGCTCTCCTATAATCCAGCTGATGGCTCGAATATCTCCCAGGAACTCTGTCTCCTCAGACAGTGTGGGGGCGGTAGACCTGAGCTCGGCCATCATGCGAGGGGAGTACCGGTAGAAGCTCAGCAGCTGCTTCAGGTTGTTCTCAAGGTCCTCCAGGCAGGACAGCTCCTTCCCACTGATGGCATCCAGCACCTCCAGGTGAGGACGATGGATCATGACCGGCAAGCAGAGGATCCAGGGGAGTGTCTTCCGTACAGCAATGTACAGATTTGCTCTCAAACTGGAGGAGATGTTGGAGCCATCGACCCCCAGACCAGCCACCAGCATGTCCTGAAGCTTCAGACCAAGCACAGCAAAGGCCCGATCGATGGCCTGGAGGTAGCCATCCACACTGCTAACGCTCAGCCTCTGCAGGGAGAGGAACTCTGTGGCAGGGGGTCCTTCACTGGTGGTGAACTGCACATAGACGGCAACGGTGTCTGACAGCAAGTCATCATTTTGCCCGTCCATGATGACACTGAGGAAGGGCGACAGGCGTATCCTCTCCGCCAGATCTTCCTTAAGTGCCCTGGCGATATGGTGGATGAGGATCTGGCAGTCACCTTCGTTCATGTACTGGTCGACCACCTTGAGCTCGCACTTCTTGAGCAACTCAGCCAGCGCTCGCAGGTCTGAGAAGGGTCGGCCCTCCAGGGCCAGGTGGTAGGCAGCATTGAACAGCAGCATCATGTTACGACACATCTCCTCAGTCTTCTCTGGGTGCATCCGGAGCTTGTATAGCTGCAGGCACTTCTTGTGCAGGTTGCTTTGGCTGTGCAGCTTGATAGTGTGGATCTTGAACTGCTTGGAGCCAATGATGAAGGCGGAGGTGCGTGAGGACTGGACGGTGTACTGGCGGCAGACATGACACCACATCTCGTTGAGCGTTGGCGAGTAGCGCAGGAACCAGAACTTCTTGAGCCATTCCTGCTTGAAGCGGCGTATCCGTCGGCCAGGCCCAGCCAACAGCTTGGAGGAGTCGTCAGCAGCCACCATGAGGTCAGCAGTGATGGACTCATCTGCAGAGTCCACATCCTGATCATCCTCATCTAGCACCACAGGAATAGGGGTCATGGCCTCAGCTGCTGAAAATAATGGGATATAACATTAATATCATAAAAGACAACCTCAGCAATGCTATATATACTGTATCTGAATAGACAAATGTATTTTCATTCAACACCTAAGGAAAAAAATGAAGCTTTTCATCCTATTAAGGGAATTTAATCAGATTAATATCATACCAAATCCACAGAATATCTGAAATTTCCAAAATGTGGCTAGAAATGAATCATTTAAATAATTTGTTTTAAAACTATGAAATGCCAATGATGCATGGTAATACTAACCACTGAAATGAACACATCAGTTTTTAATTCATTTAATGTGATTTGAATTTGAGACAAAGTAAAAAGACAAACATGTGCAAACACATTTTTATTTGAAATCCCCTGGAATATACAAAAAACAAACATTCACCACCGCAAAATCCAAAGCAAGAAATCACTGACATATTTCACACAGTTTCGCAAACCCTTTTGTGAGTTAATTCAATGTTAACTTAACTATTTGGGGTTTTTAATTCATTTTTAGTCTAACCAAAATAACAAAACATGCTTTTCTACTGATAATGATGAAAATTGTGATATGGGGGACTCAAATTTTTATTGAAGGTGAATATAGAATGTACAGAAAATGTCACATCTGAAATTCTGTGCTACAAAGCAGAGGTATAATCTCACCAAATAACCCATGCCACACTGCTCGATTTCTCTCTGTGACCTACCTTGGAGCTCATCTATTGGTGCCAGCTCAGAGTGGGGTGGTACCTCCACCTGCTCTCCTCCCCTCAGACGAATCACCTCTGCCTCCAGCTCCCGAATCCTCCTCTTCAGCTTCACACAGTTGGGGCAGAACGAGGTAGAAGGCTCCTCATGAATGTGACCAGGATCGTCTTCGGAATCCTCCATCTTTAGACACCGAACATTAAAGCCCCCCTCTAGGTGCTCTGATGGGTGGAGGCCCAGACCAGCCACTTTGCATTTCTCGTGAGCCAGATAGGACTCCCCACTCTGGGAAGTGAGCGTGACGTGCTGAGCTCTGGTCCGCTTCATGGAGAAGGTGCTGTTCAGGGGGTTTTCCTGGCTCTTGGAGGCCTCCAGAGAGGCTTCAAGGACATCTTTAAAGATGAGGTCGATCTTTTTCTTCTTGGCCTGTGGTTGGCCATCCCCCTCTTCGCTGGTGTGCTTGCTGAGGCTGCACCTGCCATGCAGAGCTGACCTGAGCACGGGTCCTTTGGTCTCCTCCTGGGCCTCGGATTTCTCAACAGTCAACAGCCCTGCAACACAACAGTGCAGAGTTAGCTGTGTAGAAGTACACCTGTGTATAATATAGCCAACTACTAGTACTATGATAATGGATGTGATAACATACAAAATACCAAGCAGAAAGAAAAGTAACCTCACATAAAGACAATGACTAATTCTCTATCCTATAACTAAACGTAACAGCATAAGAAAACGAGAACCTACTTTGCTTACCTGCAGAACCTATGCAGGTAAACGATCCAGAACGTTTTTTCCTCTTGGAGAGTATTGTTGCTGGTTAAAAATGGCAACGGTTTAAACAACTGAATGGAAGTTTCAACCCTATAGAGATTGTTTTGAAATGCCGAAGGTCAAAGGAGAAATGAATAAAATGTCTACTGAAATGATCCCGATGATGTCGCTTTTCATTTTATCAGACATACACTACACGATTTTGCCACCCAAGGCACATTTTTATAATCAGAGTAAAATACTAAGAACGTAGGCTTGGATCTGGATGTAGGACATAGCTACTCACATAGCATGAGTGGGTCAACGGTGCACCAACTGGCTAGAGTAGACCTAATCCCCAATGCCAGATTATCAGAGACCTTTTGTCAAATAGCAGACGTTTTTCCCAATAGAGATTGTGTTTACTCATTTGTGATTTTTTTAACCTGCCCTAATCCATTCTTTAAAATACAGGCTGTTGGAGTACAGACAAACCAGTAGTGATTGTTCACGTGACTCGTTTCAGGAAACTAGGCGTATGTCGCGGGTCACTACTACACAGGAGAGCCATTTGAACGTAAACTGTTTTTTGGCAGAAATGCCTTCGGGAACATGTGAATTTACATGTGCCTTAATAACAAACTTGTATGCCACCTGTAAATACGAATAAAATTACGAACCTGGTTGGTTTAGCCACAGAAAAAGACAGCAACTTTCCCGCTAGCCATGATTGGCTGAGATAATGAGTGGGCTGGACATGCCGAGAGATGAGTTCAGATTGGTCTGCCATATAGCACGCGTCGATCTATTTGAGCTGGTCAGTATGTGTAGGTAATCCTGTCTAACGCAGCTTAAAAAAATATATATATATTGCGTAGTAAAACTGCATAAGTGTTGCTCTCAACTTTCTGGAGGACCGAGTTTTGAAATCAGCGGAATTAGAGTATGATAGCTAAGGAGATTGAGAAAACACCGGTCTCCGGATTACATCTTCAAACTAAGGGCAACCATGGCATCCGTGAGGGTGACGCGTCCATCCATTATGTATACGGGTAAGATAGTCTTGGTAGCTACTAGTGGTTTCATTTCAAGTTAAAGTGTACTGTTAGCTAGCTAACGTTAGCTGGCTGGCTCGCTAGCTAACGTTACGTGTATGATCTTATTATTCGTATCTCAGAGCCATTTGCTTTGCTAGTTATAGCCTAATGTTAGCTAGCTAACATTGAACCTGGTTAGTTAGCTACCTGCAGATTCATGCAGGGTAGTAACATCATGAGATGGAATTATGGTTCATTGTTTAGCTAGCTACATGTCTTAACAAAAGACTCCACTATGCAAGTATCCATTTCAATAGAATGTCACTGCGACAACTGTTGATAGACGTAGCTGGTAAATTCGCTCTGGCTATCTACTCCGATTTCAGAGCACGGGTAAGATAGTCTAGCTAGCTACATTTTCAGATATTACACGTTTCTAATTTTGACAGAAAGTCATTTTCATTTCAAGTTAAAGTGTACTGGTATCTAGCAAGCTAACATTAGCTGGCTGGCTCGCAAGCTAACATTATGTGTATGATCTTATTATTTGTATCTCTGAGCCATTTGCTTTGCTAGTTATAGTCTAATGTTAGCTAGCTAACATTGAACCTGGTTGGTTAGCTACCTACAGATTCATGCAGGGCAGTAACGCCATGAGTTGGGATTATGGTTAATGGTTTACCTAGCTAGCTAGCTACATGTCTTAACAAAAGACTCCACTATGCAAGTAACCATTTCGGGTGCGTTCGTAAATTCAGTCTGAGTATGCCAGAGCGCAGAATAACTGATGAATTTACGAACGCTCAACACCCGTTGAATATGGCCGGTGTCAATAAAAGTCTGCAAACAAAATTATAGCCAGCAGCACAGTTACAGTCACCAACGCTCTGGATAACATGAAAACAGCCTAACCAGCTTTGCTAGGGCGAGTAAAATGGTCAGTGGGGTGTTCTCAATTGTAACTGGAAGTAGCTAGCCAATGTTAGCAAGTTAGCTTGGGTGCTTGACTGCCGTTGTGAGGTCAGAACGCTCAGATCAACCCTACTCATCGACCAGAGCGTCCAGAGTGTGCTCCGAGAGCGAAACGAGATGGGTGGGGCTAAAGCTTAAGAGGGTGTGAACGATGCTGAATGGGTGTAGACAAAGAAGAGCTCTCCTGTAGGTACCAAAACATTCAAAGGCCATTTTCTCAGAAATGAGATGACAAGTTTATCAACTTTCAAAGCAGAAATACTTTCCCCATTGTTCCTCAAATGCAGTGTATGATATACCATTTTGTAGCTCTATGTCTCTGCTTTTATCCAATGTAAAAAAAGACTGAATCAAGGCGGTCAGTCACAATATTGTCATGGATGTAAGGCATACCCCCTCAATTCGAGCCCTGGATGTAAGAGTCGAGCTTGCTGACCAAACTGGCCGCGTAGCGTGCACGAGCGTTGCAAAATAAATGAACACATACATGTTATTCAATCATTTCATCCAAAATCCTTGCGAGCGTCAACGGGTGTCTGCGTAGCCAGGGGCTACAGAGGGTCGTGCATACTGCCCAGTACATCACTGGGGCCAAGCTTCCTGCCATCCAGGACCTATATACTAGGCGGAAGGAGGAAGGCCCAAAAAATTGTCAAAGACTCCAGTCACCCAAGTCATAGACTGTTCTCTCTGCTACAGCACGGCAAGCGGTACCGGAGAGCCAAGTCTAGGTCCAAAAGGCTCCTTAACAGCTTCTACCCCAAAGCCATAAGACTGCTGAACAATTAATCAAATGGCCACCCGGACTATTTACATTGACCCCCCCCCCCCCCTTAGTTTTTTACACTGCTGCTATTCGCTGTTTATTATCTATGCATAGTCACTCTACACAAACCTACATGTACAAATTACCTCGACTATCCTGTACCCCTGCACATTGACTCGGTACCGGTGCCTCCTGTATATAGCCTCGTTATTGTTATTTTATTGTGTTACTTTATTTTATTTAGTAAATATTTTCTTAACTCTATTTCTTGAACGGCATTGTTGGTTAAGGGCTTGTAAGTAAGCATTTCACGGCGCATACGACAAATAAAACGTGATTTGAAATTTCTGTTTGCTGATGAGCTGGTGCCTTCAGCAGCACCTACAGTGAGGGAAACAGGTATTTGATCCCCTGCTGATTTTGTACGTTTGCCCACTGACAAAGACATGATCAGTCTATAATTTTAATGGTAGGTTTATTTGAACAGTGAGAGACAGAATAACAACAACAAAATCCAGAAAAACAAAATTGATTTCCATTTTAATGAGGGAAATAAGTATTTGACCCCTCGACTAACTTGTACCCCCGCACATTGACTCGGTACCAGTACACCCTGTATATAGCGTCATTATTGTTATTTTATTGTGTTACTTTTTATTGTATTTTTTACTTTAGTTTATTTAGTAAATATTTTCTTAACTTTATTTATTGTACTGCATTGTTGGTTAGTGTCTACACGTGTTTTATTCAGCGCATGTGACGAATACAATTTGATTTGATTTGAAATAGAACTTGGTTCTATTTTAGACGATTGACGCGCTGCAAGTCCCCCTCTCCCATCTACTCATAGTTTTTTACAAGCATATAAGCCTTTCTATAAACTCGGGTACCAGTGAGCATTTCTTGTAGTGGACAACTGTTTGGAGCTGTTACAAAGTTATTAATAATAAACCTGTTTAAACCCTTTCTCATGCTTGGAGTCATCACAGATTTGGTAGAAATCATGTGACATAAAATGTTACCTTTCTTTCCTTACATTTATGATACCGCTGTTGGTCATATCATATACTAAGCATTTAACAATTGAATTACACATTGAACTTGATCCTGTAAAATTCCTGGATATTGCTGTCGGACTCTTTTGTATGGCGATCTCGGAAGTGCACTGTAACCTCGTAACATTTCGTATCTCCCTATATTACGGTGTGAAAAAGTTTTAATGGGCACACATATCCAAAAGAATGTATGGATTGCAAAATCAAATGCTTCTAACAGAAAGAGTAACTTTAACAAGATGAATCAAACCAAAATTTATACTTTCATTAATGGGGTTCTTCAATAATTATGCATAATAGTTGTTGGATGCGCATTTGATGTCTAGCTGTTTAGTTATGTGGGGAAATTATCATGCATAATTCAGGTTTCAGGAAAGGATTTTCTGAGTGACAGTCAAGTGATAAAGAGCTGGTGTGATACTGCACGCAATTGAACCGCCAAAGTGCGGAAATGAATGTTGATTTTGTTTTTTGTGTGCATATAAAACCAAAAGAACTACTTGAGATTTTGATTTTCACATGTGGGTAAGTTAACCATTGACGGCATTCCACATTTAAGTCCACAGCCAACACTTTGTGTCCTTTCAAAGTAGGAGTTAACCCTTTGCAGTGCCAAGATAAAGTACGATTTCTCAATTTCAGAATATGATTTAGTGTATATTGACTGATTAATGAACTGCGGTTACTGTAAATGGTTAGCTGACTGATGCTTGTCAAACATCTCATTCCAAAATCATAGGCTGTAATATGGAGTTGGTCCCCCCTTTGCTGCTATAACAGCCTCCACTCTTCTGGGAAGGCTTTTCCACTAGATGTTGGAACATTGCTTTGGGGAATTGTTTCCATTCAGCCAACAGAGTATTAGTGAGGTCGGGCAATTAGGCCCGGCTTGCAGTCTGCGTTCCAATTCATCCCAAAGGTGTTCGATGGGGTTGAGGTCTGGGCTCTGTGCAGGCAAGTCAAGTTCTTCCACACCGATCTTGACAAACCATTTCT